CATTGTTCCCAACTACATCTTTAGCCAAAGGCATCATTCTTGATACAAATGAGATCGAAAACTGGGGGTGTTTCTTACTTATAAAAGCCACTAAAAAAGAAAACAAAATCCTCCAAAAAATGTCCTGAGGCACAAAAGTCCTTTTTCATTGGCCTGTGCTGACCACTGGGCTGCAGTTCGGAAGTCATCACCAGGGCATTGGTGCCTGCTAGGTCATTATCTCACAGGGCTGATTGTGGTGAGAAAACTGAGAAAGGTAGGCCTTCCTTACTAGCTGCAGCTGTGAAAGAAATTGAGAACTGCACAGTGGAGATGAGGCAGCACTCTCTCCCGGGACAGCAGACAAAGTCAAATGGGAGCAGGTATTGAAGTAGTAGTAGAGTAACTTATCCCTGGGCCAATGAATCTTAATATCTTATCTTACACTTGTTTTTTGTTTGTTTGTCTGTTTCCAAAAAGGAGGTGATTTTAATTTTTTTTTTAATTTTTTCATGGAATTTATTGGGGTGACATTGGTTAATCACATTACATAGGTTTCAGGTGTACAATTCTGTAATACATAATCTGTATATTGTATTGTGTGTTCACCACCCCAAGTCCAGTGTCCTTGATCACCATTTATCCCCCTTTACCCTCTTCTACCCCATTCCCCTTCCCTCTGGTAATCACCATACTGTTATCTGTGTCTATGAGTTGTTTGTTTGCTTAATACCTTCACCTTTTTCACTCAGCCCCACAATATCCTTTCCCTCTGACAGCTCTCAGTTTGTTCTCTCTCTGTTGAATCTATTTCTATTTTGTTGTTAGTTTACTTTGTTCATTAGGTTCCACATGAGTGAAATAATATGCTACTTGTCTTTCTCTGGCTGGCTTATTTCACTTAGCATGATGCTCTCCAGGTCCCAGTAGTATTCCATTGGATAAATGTACCACAGTTTTTTATCCACTCATCTAATGATGGGTACTTGGGCTGCTTCCAAATCTTGGTGATGATAAATAACACTGCAGTGAACATAGGCATGCTTGTATTCTTTTGAATTAGTGTTCCAGGCTTCTTTGGATATATTCCCAGAGGTGGAATTGCTGGGTCATAAAGTAGTTCCATCTTTAATTTTTTGAGGAAACTCCATACTACTTTCCCCAGTGGCTGCACCAACCTGCATTTCCACCAGCAGTGCATAAGGGTTCCCTTTTCTCCACATCCTCACCAGCATTTGTTGTTTGTTGATTATTGATGACAGCCATTCTGACAGGTGCAAGGTGATATCTCATTGTGTTTTGTTTTGTTTCTCTGGTGATTAATGACATTGAGCATCTTTACATGTCTGTTGGCCATCTGTATGTCCTCTTTGGAAACGTGTCTGTTTAGGTTCTTTTCTCATTTTTTAATTAGGTTGTTTTGATTTTTTGGTGTTGAGTTTTATATGTTCTTTGTAAATTATGGGTATTTACCCCTTATCAGATGTATCTTTGGCGAATATATTCTCCCATTCATTAGATTGTTTTTTCATTTTATTGATGGTTTCCTTTGCTGTGGAAAAACTTTTCAGTTTGATGTAGTCCCATTTCCTTATTTTTTCTTTTATTTCCCTTGCCCTAGGATATCTATCAGAAAAGATATACTTTGAGAAATGTCTGAGATTTTACTGCCTATGTTTTCTTCTAGGATTTTTATGGTTTCAAATCTAACATTTAAATATTTAATCCATTTTGAGTTCATTCTTGTGTGTGGTCTAGTTTCTTTTCTTTTCTTTTTCTTTTCTTTCTTTCTTTCTTTTTTTTTTTTTTTTTTGCACGTCTGTTTCATTTTCCCAATACCATATATTGAGTAGACTATCTTTACCCCATTGTGTATTTTTGCCTCCTTTGTCAAATAATAATTGACCATAAAGGCGTGGGTTTGTTTCTGGGCGCTCTATTCTGTTCCGTTGATCTATATGTCTGTTTTTATGCCAGTACCATACTGTTTTCATTACTGTAGCCTTATAGTATAGTTTGATATCAAGTAGCATGAGTCCTCCAACTTTGTTCTTCTTTCTCAAGATTGCTGTGGCTATGTAGGTCTTTTGTGGTTCCATATAACTTTTTGGAACACTTGTGCTAGTTCTGTGAAATACACAATTAGTATCTTGATAGGAATTGCATGACTGTATAGATTGCTTTGGGTAATATGGACATTTTAATGATATTTATTCTTCCTATTCATGAACACAGTATATGCTTCCACTTATTTGTGTCTTTTTTGATTTCTTTCTTCAGTGTCTTTTAATTTTCTGAGTACCAGTCTTTTACATTTTGGGTTAAATTTATTTATAGCTATGTTTTTTTTTATGCAGTTGTAAATGGGATTTTTTTTTATTCTGATGGTTCATTATTTGTGTATAAAAATGCAGCTGATTTCTGGATATTTATGTTGTATCCTGCTCCTTTACTGAAGTCGTTGATCAGTTCTAGTAGTTTGTTGGTGGAATCATTAAGGTTCTTTATATACAGTAGCATGACATCTGCAATGACTTCCTCCATTCCAATTTGGATACCTTTTACTTCTGCTTGTCTGATTGCTTTGGCTGGGACTTCCAGTACTGTGTTTAATAAGAAAGATGAAAGCAGACATCCGTGTCTTCTTCCCTATCTTAAGGGGAATGCTTGTAGTTTTTGCCCATTGACTGTTATGTTGGCTATGGGTTTGTCATATGTGGCCTTTATTATGTTGAGGTATGTTCCCTCTATTTCCACTTTACTGAGAGTTTGTATTATAAATGAGTGCTGGATTTTATCAAATGCTTTTTCTGTATCTGTTGAAATGATTGTTGTTTTTATCCTTTTGTTTATGCAGTGTATCACATTAATTGCTTTGTGAATATTGTACCAACCTTGCATCCTCAGAATTAATACCACTTGATCATGGTATATGATCTTTTTCATGTGTTGCTGGATCTGGTTTGCTAATATTTTGTTGAGGATTTTAGCATCCGCAGTTGTTTTTTAATGTTTCATTTTGTCAAATATATTGTAAGCTCTTGTAGTTAGGAACCTTGGAAAATGCTAAGTTGTATCTCACTTATTGTCTTCATCACACTAGGTACTCTATAACTAGTCTTGGCTGGATTAATGGGACCGAAAAAAAGAGGAAAAAGACCATGCTCTTTGAATTTAATTGTTTCTGTTATATGGGTTTCATCTGCTGTATGAATCTACCTGACAGAAGACTGGAGGCTGGATTGGAGATTTTGTTGGAATTTACAGTGTATTGAATCTTGAGTCTGTTGCTGCATTCCCATTTTTCCTTGCAAACGTGGTAGGCATCTAAAGGAAAGTCATAGATCTGTGGTTAAGATGGCTTCAAATGCTATGGCTGGGTCTGAAGCTGAAGCTTGGCAGTGTCGGGGAACAGAGCAAGTCCTGCTATCCCAGAGGCTTGGAGTCAGGGGCTTGGGGTCTAAACCTTGGTCTTGTCACTTAAGGGCTGGGCATCTCCGGGCAAGCCTCAAATTGGCCCAAGTTTCCACATCTGTGAAATGGTAATTATAATAGTGTCTCTTGACTCATTGCGTGGGTTAAACAAGATTCATTAATGCACTTACCCAATAATTATTTATTGAATACCTGCAGGCACTCTTTTAGGCCTTGGAGTTATAGCTGTAAACAAAATGGACAAAAAAAAATCCATGCCTCGCAGAATTTATATTCTAGCAATGTAGTATACATAAGGGCACTTAATAAATGTTTTATTCAATTAGTCTGAGCCTCTCTGATGCACTCACAGAATGAATTTTTACTGTATATTGCCACAGGAATTTGTTACAACTATAGGTAATTAGGACCATAATTGGGTCTCATGTCTGAATTAAGTGGGTCCCTTTAAATAGGACATTTATGTATTCTTGCTAAATCCCACTATGTTCAGAAAGTCTGTTCCCCAGATTGGATTGCAGTCATTTTCATGTCTATAAAGTGCTTGAACCAAACAGCACAGCCGTTGGCTGAGGTTCAGGGACTGCAGGTGGTGGTGTGTCCAGGTGGTTCACATTGTTTTCTCAGGTCATTAGTATTTGCACTATCTGTGACTTAATATGATTTTACAGAGTTGCTCTGATGTTTGTTTGTTTGTGTAATTTGTGGAAATAAGTCAAAGTGTAAGCATGACCAATTAAAATGAAATTGTATTTTAGTGCGTAATTTCAACCTTTCCTCTCCAAACTCTTGATCAGCCACCAATCAAAGAACAAAATGACAAATTTAAAGTTTCCTTTCCTCCTTTTATTTACTATTTTTTTTACTGCCTCCCATCTAGGGTTTTTCTCTGAGCATCAGAATGCCCAGAATCCGTGCAAACAGAAAGAGCAGACCTAGAAAGCAGAGCCCAGAGGAATGGCATGCCGCCCTTAATCTCAGGCCCTCCCTCTGGAGGGGTGTGTCCAGACCCATCCTCCATCTGCTGTCCTTTTTCTAATGTACTACTACTCTGGGTCTCTGATGGCACACAGCCCATTTAGTTAAAAGTGTAAACAGGAAATCGTTTTCTGGCTGAATAGCTTGTGTGGCCCGGAAAAATGGTCATTTTTGCTGAGACACAACTTTTAAAACATTCACACGGCAGTGGAAGCCCAATGCTGATTATAAGCTAGTCCTGCCCCGAGACAGAGGCCTGTGATAGGACATGGGTGTGGGAACTCACATATGCGGATTCAGGGCATTTATCACCCGATGGCTAAAGGCACGAAGGACACAACTGACAAAGCTCCTGTCACCTAGAACGCAGCTATTCTGCAGGGTAAGGAGACACGTTTATGCTCCAAGGAACTGCAGAACAGGCATTAGTTGAAAGATGCGGAGGTTTGGTCTGGAGAAATGGGACTTGGCTCTGATGACACCTCCCGGGTCTCAGTGCTGCACAAGTCTGCTCCAGCCCCCCGTCATGTGGCCGTCCATGAACCTCCTGTGCTCCCATTGTGGTTTCCCTGTGTGCTGACAAGTTTTCTGGTTGTTATGTCTTGCAGCCCCCCGAATCCAAGCCCAACTTCACCCCTCTCGCCATCTTGGCCCATGTTCTCGGCGCCATCCAGCCCTATGCCCACCTCATCCACGTCCAGCGACTCATCCCCCATCAGGTCTGTTGCAGGGTTTGTTTGGTTTTCTGTTGCTGCTGTTGTTCTCTCATTGGCTTGGTCCTCTCTTCATGCAGTGTTCAGCCTCTTCGTCAACTTTGTTCCCTGCCATCCAAATCTGCACTTGCTTTTTGACAGGCCAGAAGAAGCTGTTCATGAAGACTCCAGGTAAAATCATGGACGATGACCAATCTGGTCCCATTTATCCAAAGCCAGTCAGGGACAGCAGGTGGCCAGCCTCTGCTCTCCTGTGATTCCAGCCTAAGAGCCAAAGCTGGGAGGGACCATTTGCATGAACCAGCCTGACATTTTCCACACCCTTTTGAACCCTTCCTTCAGTTTGATTTAATAATCTGTGATACCTGGCGTTTGGGGAAAGAGTACCTGCTGCACGGGCTCCTATTTGGCTCACTGTCTGTAACGTGGGGCCCTCTGTGCTTTGGTATTAGATAATACCAGAGAGATCAGTACCAAGACATGCACTGGCCTTTTCTTCCCTCGTTTTAATCAGTTAACATCAGGCAACATTTACTTGTGGGGTTGGGCTATCAACCATGAGCGCTGACACCTAGTTGCTGAGACCAGACCACTGGGAGAGAGGAATATAACACAGAATAAGAAATCAAGATACAAAGTGATTTTTCTTTAAATTGTTCATAGCCACCTCCTTCCCTCCATGCCCTCCCAGGAATCATCAATGCTCCCAGCCTGCTTCTGTCTCCATGTGTTATGAACCTTTTGCTCTCATTGGAACAGGCAGCACATTTTTCTAAGGGTTGGCCTAGTTCCTCTCCCCAAGAGCCATGCTATAGTTTTCCCTGCTTTGATGACGTTCAGACTTCATTCTTTGCCCTTGAGTTCTTTGGAGAAAAGAGGCTGTTTAAATCCAGGAACCTACAGGACCCCTCTCCTGTACAGGTCTGCAGCATGTTGTGCCTCTCAAACTTAGTCTCTGTTTGCAAACAACCAAAATGTAGAGCCCAGTTATACTCACCATAAGCATTTTGGGCCTTGGCAGTATTTTCTCATCCATCTTTTTCTCCTACCTGTTTTTTTCCTAAGGGGTGGGTCCAGCAGAGAGGCTTTAACCATTTATAAAGCTCAATCTTGTTTTATAAAGAAAGTTCTTTTTTTCTTTATTCATATATAGATGTATATATTACTTTATTCTCCTCTTTTATATCTATCACACACTTTTATATCTATCATTTCATGCCGTTCTTATGTGAGAATGAGAGGAGAAACGGTCTGAACTAAGGCACAGAGAGGTGACTTGTACATAGTCACGCAACTAAACTAGAGCCAGTCTAGAATTCAGGACTTCTTGCCCTCAACCCACTCTTTCTGCCAAACATGTGAGTGTCCCTAAATTCAAGTTTCCGTGCAACTTTCAGCCCCAGAGCCTGGTCTGCTCTTCTAGGTTTTCTATCTAACTTTGTTCTAGAATATGAGAAAGATATCTTTTCAGTATATCCTTTTATTCTCACCCTAGAAATAAGGTAAAAATCCAAATCATATTTTCCTGACACTCAGGTTATTTCCTAATTATTTCTTAAACGTATTCTCGGTGCTCTGGGAGATACTAACTCTCTCAGACACTAGCTATGGCATGGATTGTTCTGTTTAGATCGCTGATTGCCCAGGAGGACCTGAACCAGAGCAAACCACAGCGACCAGAGATAGTCACCTTCCAAAATGCCTCCCTCACTCATACCAGAGATATTGTCATTGCTCATTCATTTTGGTCAAGAGAGAGTAAAATTTTCAAGACATTAGCCCCTTGGACAGAAAGGGTTAGGGGCCTCAGGATAGTAGAATCATTCAGTTAAAAACCTGAAATGTACTCTCTGTTTTGAGAATATTCACTTTTTTTGTGTCTCTGAGCTTTGGGGCCCTTTTGCCTCTCTAGTAGCTCCACTTCTCCTCTCCCTTCCACCTTCTAAGACATTTCCAGATTTTTTCCTTTAGCTACTCCTTTCCTCTCCCAAAGTATTTCCAAAGTGGCAGAGGCAGGTGGCAGTAGAATCTGCCCGCATACTATGTGTGGGGTCATGGGTACTCAGTACTGCCTCCTCTGGCCATTGTTAGAACAGCACCATTTGAAGATGCTATTCCACAACCCATTAGGAAGCTGCCATTTTGAAAATACGCAAGCCTGAGTAGGGCTTGCAGTTGGCTGTCACTGAGCTAACTATGTAAGCCGACGTAAGCACAGATACAGATAGCGCTGGGGAGCTAGCCTGTTACAGCTCACCAGAGAAGGCCAAAATCCCATAGCTGCTGTTGCAGTATACAGCCAAGAGGTGGGGGCCTACACCTATTATTCAGGTCCAGTGGGGCCTTCCCCCAAATCTATTTCCAGAATGTGAACTTCAATTTCCTTTTCTAGGCAGAGCAGTTAAAAATAAGTACTTAATTATATCTAATGAACGGTCTCATGAACTTCAACATAATGCATCCTCTGGAAATGGCTTCCTCTCCCCTCTTCAAAGCAACTTTAGTGTTTATTAGTTCAAGCTCAGAAATGAAGATGCCTTTCACAGCACATCAGAGAAAGGGTACTGGAGAAACATTCCCTTCACATATCCCCTTCCTTTCGCTCATACCCCCAGAAAAGCTCCTAGCCCCAAACCTGTCACTGGCATTTGCACAGAGGCCCCTGGAAATGTTGCCTAAATGGTCAAGCCATCACCACCTGCCAATCTATCTGGCCCCACCTCCCTCTCGTGCCATACAATGGAGAGTAGGTCGTCATTTTGCGAGGCTTGCAAGGGCATCTGAGGGAACCTCCTCTGAGTGCTTTCCTGGCCTCATGCCACGCTCAGAGGCGAAAATTAAAAGTGAACTAGCAAAAGCTTCCAAACTTGTTCATGCCCTTGAAGGCCCAGCTGAGGTCTGAAGGGCACTGTCACGGCAGCGGCCGAAGGCATCCCAGGCTCTCTGTGTCCAGTGCTGAGAGGCACTGCAGAGAAGAGGGAGGCAGGGAGCCAAAGAACCAAAGATGCTTGGTGGGGAATTTTTATTTTTTTATTCAGAGCCAAAGCCTACAAACACAGCCTCTGTGCCAACAGGAGCTGTTTGGGTAGGAACCCTACCTAAAGCAAACTGCTCAAGGCTTTTGAGAGGGAGTACGGCATGGGACACTGAGCTTGTTGGGCTAACAGACTTTTTAAAAAGATAAGACTCTTCCCTGGGTAGAGTTGCCAGATTTAGCAAATAAAATAAAAATACCAAATACCCAGTTACATTTGAAATGTTTATAAACAAGAATTATTATTATTATTATATATATATTATTTTTAGTGTAAGTATGTCTCGTGTAATATTTGGGACATACTTATACTCAAAAAGTATTCCTGTTGATCTGAAATTCAAATGTGACTAGGTGTCTTGTATTTTATTTGGCAGCCCTAGTCGTGGGCAGTGGAGGTGGGTCCTTTTAAAAGGCACCCCTTCTGTCATCCCTCCCATTTTTGTGCACATCCTAAGGGGCTGGGAGGAGGTCACAAGGAAAGAGACTCTCTCGTAGACTCAATCACCTATTAATCTGCGAGAAAAGCAAGGCCCTTCCCTGACCTTTGTTTTTATTTTTAACTTACTGTTTCATTGTCACTTCATTATTCAATTCCAAAAGCCTGATATTAGTGGAAAATTACTCCTCTTGAATGATAATCTTGGGCACCATTCCCTCTGCTTTCTTCCTGCCAGCTATCCCAGTTGGTTTCCCTGGCTTGCCCCTATTTTGTCCCTTTCGCTTTATTCAATGAGGTTAATAAGTAACCTCCATGAAAATCTAGCGGGAGGAGTCTTGCCTCAGGTGACCTTTCCCTCACCTTTTATTTCCCTGTATGCAGTCTCTTTCCTCTCTCCTCACTTGCTCTGCTCTGTCCTCAAGGGACAGTGACCCTGACTAATCTCATGTCAACTGGGTTCTCTTTCTACCTCCCATGTCATGATGGGCTCTACTTACCTATCAATACGGGGGTTTTGGTGGTTTTAGCACATTTCATAGCCAGGTGACTTCTCCTCTCTGCTCCCGACTCCCTCCAAAAAAAAAAAAAAAAATTAGAAGAAAACCAAAACTTTTTTTTCCTCCCTGGGAAGTTGCTTGTTGGATAGTTGGTCCTTGCTGGCCCATGCACAGACTTGGTTTGGTTATTCACAGAATGTGCCCCTTGTTCTGAACTTTTTTCTGACTTTAATGATAATTACACTGGAAGAGCTGTTTTCCAGTGGAGCTGATGAATTCTAAAGGCCCTTCTTTCTTTTTTTCCCAGAGGACCCACTTTCTTTTTTCTGAACTTCCCAGTTTTCTCCCAGCTGGCCATCATCTCCTGGCCACTAGAAGAGCAGAGAGGACATCAATAAGCTGCACGCTGGCAAAAAATTCTGAATAATCAATTACTCTGATCATTCTGTACCATAGAACTTTTTTGCCTCTTCCCTTCAGTTTTCATGGACCCCAGACTGGAATTTCTAGATACAGGCCCTGGTATAGGTTTCCACCCATCCATGGCTTGCTCCTCTTCCCAAAGGGAGGCTGGACCTGGTGAATCCAAGAAAAAATGATTCCAGAATGACCCCAAGATGCCCCGCCTCTTCTGATTCTGTCTGGATTTACCTGACACCAGTAATTCCTCAGCTAAATCTCATTTGGTCACTAGAAATCAGTGCACCACAGGAGGGTTAGCGCCACTGGCCCCTGGAGGCTGCCCGTTAATCATAAAGATAAAAATATATACACGTTGAATAATTGTCTAACCCAGAGCACCGACTTACTCTTTTGTTATTCTGCCCTGGAGCCCCACCTATGCTTTCTCAGATGGCTTGGAGGGAGAAGATTTCTTTTATCAAATAAAGAGCCAAGTTTTGACTGTTAAGTGTAAGTTTTCTTATGACTCTTGAGAAGTCCATAGATCATTTGAGACTAGTTGGATATCAAAGCAAAAATTTATAGAAGGTAGTAGAATTTACCAGTTTTTACAATTTACTCTCTGGAACACGGGTTGGTGTTATGTGGTCCTTAGGTCAAATCTGGCCCACCACCTGTTTTTTGTAGTAAAGTTTGGGTGGAACACAGCCACACTAATTTGTTTACATGTCGTCTATGGCCGCTTTCATGCTACAAGGCAGAGTTGAGTAATTATACCAGAGATCATATGGCCCACAAAGCCTAAAAGATTTACAGAAAGAGTTTGCCATCCCCAGCTCTAGAACAATGGTTCTCAGCCGTACTTGCACACTGGAGTCACTTGGAGACCTTTTAAAAAAAATCCTGATGCCTTTATTTGTATCTACAAGTCAAGTAGAATCCAGGCATCTGCATTTTTTAAAAGCTCCCCAGGTGATTGTGATACACAGTACAAGTGGTTGTCAACACTTGTGGACATAAGAAGTGGGGGGAATGCATTGTGTCTCCTCTCCCTTCCTCCCCACACTCTCACACGTGTTCCCATGTACGCTTATTTATGCACATCCATATGTAACTGCTCACACACACACCCCTTGTCTATTCCCTGCCCTACCCTGGCGATCAGGGAGTTCCAGCCCTGGAATCCTGTTCCACCAGCCCAATGACAAATAAATAACATCTGGGAAAGGTGATGTCAATCCATAGCCTGGAGCGGAAACCTGGCTTTGCTAGAATTTCTCCTTTTTGACTCACTGAGCATTGCCAACTTCTACCAGGCTCTGATGGGCGTGTTCTCCAGTGCACCTTGGAAGTTCTCTCTCCTGCCCTGACCTCCCTCCTCCCCAGCCGCTCCTGCTCCAGAAAAGGGGCCCAGCCTGCCCTCCCACTGTTCAGCTGTTGTAACTCCTAGATCAAGTTTTAACATGGCACAAGGTGACCCCACAAGAAGTCTGGTTCCTCAGGCCTTATGGCTTTTCTCTGAATATTTCTCATTTTTCTCTGGTGACCTTTGTAGCTTTTCTGCCTCATGTTTTGCCATCTGGCTGCCTTATTAGGCTCTTCCTACCACAGAGGACTAGGTGGCTCAAAGGGAAGGGGAAGAAGAGAGGTTAAATATATGGAGCTTTCAGAGAGTTTTATAAAATTGCTAAATAAGCACCTATTTTCACACAGCACACCATTCCGGAAGGCAAAAGCTTTGTACGCCTGCAAAGCTGAACACGACTCAGAGCTCTCCTTCACTGCAGGCACGGTCTTCGATAATGGTGAGTTTTCTCATCCTCTTGCAAAGATGGGGGCAGGTGGGGGAGGAGCAAATAAATAACTGGAGTTTTCAAGTTCCTACCCTAGGAAAATCTCAGTTGAATGGGTAAGACTGAAAAAGAGTATGTGTTTGTGTGTCTTTTCACAAAATGAGAGAGCAGCCATGGGCCTTTGGGAGGTGCTATCAAGAGTGTCGTCAGAGATGGTCTCATCACAGGGTTGTGGACATTAAACACTATTGTGCCTGCACTGGACTCAGCCCAGCACCTGGCAGTGGCTTTGAGAGTCTGGGGCTGAACAGAGGGTAGGAGATGAAGGACTGGAGAACAGTGGTCCTGCAAGTGGTCGGGAGCTCAGGATGGCGATTGACTCCACAGGTTCTGTGCCCCTTTCCTCTTGAGTTCAGTGGCATTCACTGTCCACAGCAGGCAAGGCCAGTTTCCTAGATGGCAGGGCATTGGGCAAACTCCGGGTAAGCCTTGCTGCATCCCTGCTCTTCTTCCTCCAGAGCCAGACCACCCAGCCCCCACTGGCTGTCCTGCTCAAGTGTCCCGGTGTGAAATGGATTCATGACACCTGCTCTATAGAATTCAGATCTAGTACGTGGTTGATGCATCATTTTCTCTCTCTTTTGTTTGTTTTCCTCCCTAAAAAAATAGTATTTTTTGAAGGGAGAATTGATATCATAGTTTGTCATAACTTATCATGTACCTGAGATTGAAATCAGGATTCTGAGATAAAGTCCAAGTTGCTGTTACAGCTGAGATTTTCCCCAGATAAAGTTCTCCTCTGGATGCCTGGGTGAAAAGGTCTGTTTTGCTCGAAGGAGGAAGCAAAATGAGCTGCCTGGTTTCAGGAATTGGAAATTTTCCAGGGCTCTCTTCTTGACCTCAGGTGGGTGAGGGGCACAGTTCCCGGGCAGCGGTTAGTGCATTTTGCCCAAGCGCTCCCCTTCGTGGCCAGGTCGGCCACCCTGGCCTAGACCACAGCTCCTCCCGTCTGCCCAAGACCCAGAAATAAGGGCAGCCAAGGCTCACACCTAGCACTGGAGAACATGCACCCTGGAATCAGGCTACTAAAGCACAAGCCCTGGCTTGATCACTCGCTCCTGTGTGACTTCAATAGGTAACAGAGGGTTGGGAGAGAAAATCAAGACAGAGCACATCATGTGTTTAAAATAGTACTCAATATATATTGAGCATTGACTATGTTATTGTTGTGATTATCGTCATTGCCATTGCATCCATCTTAGACAAAGACCCTGACGCTGTCATCGTTCACAGTGACAGTCTTTCCTTTTCAGCTGATAGGACCCAGGCCTGGCTGTCAGCTGGGCAGTAGGTAACACACCTTTTCTCCCTGGGCCCTGGCTACATGTAAGGGCCTCAGGGTCCAAGCCAGATGAGATTGGCTCCTAGGGACCAGCCCTGTCTGCATCCACACAGCAGGGGTCCGCCCCAGTGTGCACAGCCCCTGTACGCGTCATGGCAGAGGCACTGGTCAGGCAGAGTAGAAAGAATGGGAAGTGGTCACAGAGCACCTGGGGGATTCCCGGGTCTCACGCGGCACTAGACCTTCTGAGCCAGCAGGGGTGGGTGTGAGCCCATAACTGTATGTGGCCTGCTGGGCCTGTATCCTCTTTTATGGTTCTCAGAGCCCCAAAAGCGCTGTCCCTAAACCTTTGCTCCCTTTCCATCTGGGCCCTTTGCAAGCGGAAGCACACAAACGGTCATCCCGGCAGCCTCTCTTGTGAGCAGCTTGAGCTTTTGGGCCCCAGAAGACCTGCCGATGAGGTGGGCCCACTGAAGGCTGCCCAAAACCATGTCATTGGCCAGTGTCTCCCAGAGAGGCTCGTGGTGGGGAGTCATAGCCCAGCCATAACATGACACAATTTCCACAGCAGACAAACCACAGTGGGGCTTCTCTGTCAGCAGGGGAGAGGCTGCTGCCTATAGGTGGGCAGGGCTTGAGAGAGCCCACATTTACAGGCGAGCCCAGTTTGAAGGTCTGTTCCTAAACCCCAAGGCACTGTTCTCATGGGCAAGGGGCTGCCATGTGTCTACCAGCTATTCACTCTGAGGACACGAAGGACCCCTGATCCCAGAGGCAGACTTTGTTTAAGCTCCCAAAAATTACCTAAGAGTGTATGTGTGTGCGCGCACACGCACGCGTATGTGTGTTTTGTGATTTCTTTTCTTGAGCGTAGCCTTCTTCCATTTTTTAAACCACTGTATTAAGATTCCCATATACCACCAAATTTACCCATTTAAAATGTACAAGTTAGTGGTTTTTGGTATGTTCAGAGTTGTGTAATCATCACCACTCTCTAATTCTAGAATATATTCATTACCCTCAAAAAAAAAACCCTGTACACTTTAGCAGTCATGCCTCATTTACCCCAACCCCACCCTATCCAGCCTAGGTAACCACTCTTCTACTCTTGTCACTGTAAACTTGCCTGCTCTGGATAATTCATATAAATGGAATTCTACAGTATGTAGCCTTCGTAACTGGCTTCTTTCACTTAGCATATTTTCAAGATTCATCCATATTGTATCATGTGTCAGAACTTTATTCCTTTTCATTGCTGAGTAATATTCCATTGTACGACTATATCACATTTGATTTATCCCTTCATCAATTGATGAACACTTTGATTATGTCCATTTTTTGGCTGTGATGAGTAATGGTGCTGTAAACAGTCATATACACATTTTTGTGAGGACATACATTTTCAGTTTTGGTGATATACCTAGGAGTAGGATTTCTGGACCATATAGTAACTCTATGTTTAACTGTTTAAGGAATTGCCAAACTGTTACAAAGGGATCGCACCATTTTACATTCCCACCTTTTTAAGTCTCCTTTCTGCAGTAGCTAAAGATACCTAGGGAATTTTTAACTGTCAAGTCCCTTCCCTCCCATCCGGGTGCTCTGCCTAGCAGGTCTTATGACCCCTCCCATCCCACAACTTTGATAATTGTCCTAAATCCTGTCCTGACAAATGAGAGTGGAAGAGGGGTTTGGTTTAACCAGTCAGGGGCGTTACCAAAGCCTTCCTGTGGTTTCTGGGAGTCATGGCAGAGTTTATTGACACTAGTTTGTTTTCAATCAGCAATGCCAGTGACCTTTCAAATTCCCTGAAGAGTAAAAGGCCAAATTAAGCCCAGAAGAAAACACCTTTCACTGTTGACAGCTGCAGTCGAAGAATGATCTGACAGAATGTTAATCTACTGTATAGATTGGTTTGGCTGAAAACGTTTTATTATGTCCAATTTTTAAAAGTTGCTATCAACACATGTCCTCTATTTTCTCCTTCCCTTCACCTCTCTTGGAGAAATCAGGCATTAGAGTAGGAAAAAAACTATTTATACGGTAGGCAAGGAGATCTCTTTCTTTGTTCTATCTCTTGTTAGTTTATTGTTGAAGATAGCTAGGTAAGGGCTGTTTAAGTTCAATGCTGCGTAGCTGTCAGATAAAAATCATCAGACCAGTTTGAAGAAAGTTTCCAAATGATAGGGAGAGAAACAGTTTTTGAGATCAAGAAGAATAAATAAGAAGGAGGAAGAGGGGAAAGTCTGGTGTTTCGTAATGATTAATCTCCAAGCCTTTGGATTCCAGTGGCCCGTGCTGCGCATCTGGAATGGCTGCTCAGTCAGCTTTTGGACTTTGTGCAGTGGGGAGTGGATGTGCAATACTTGACAATAACTCCAGTGTCAGCCCTTGCCAATCTACTAGGAAACTGTCCTCTTCACCAAGTGCAAGCACCTCAGACAGTAACTAGAAAGACAAATAACTTGTGTTCTCAGGAACATTAGTCATCTTGAAGCTACATGATTAGCAATACCTGGAAAATTCACACAGTGTTCACTAAAATTGAGTTCTTGGGATACCTTTATCAAGATTTGAGATGGACTGGATCCAATAATTCTGGGGGCACAGGCTGCCATGTGAATACAAAGTCAGGGCTGCCCCAGGGTTTTACTAGCTGATAGAGAACGTCCTCACCAGGGCTGCTGAGCTGCTCAGGCAGCGGGGTTGCAGAAGGTTCCTCTGTAGAGTCTTCAGCCTCCCCAGCCCTCTCTGCTGCTAAACCCAAGCCGCCTCTGTCTCTTACGGAGTGTTTCTACCAGCTGCCTAACTGGCCTTGCACATCCACTCTTGGCCTCATATCTAGTCTCTACACAGCAGCCAGAGTTACCTTTGGAAAATGGAAATCGCATCATGTTATTCTCCAGCTTAAAATCCTCCAATGCCCTCCTGTTGCTCTTAGAATTATTGACGAGGACCTCCACGGTCTAGCTCCTGCCCCCTTGACCCCTGCTCACCTTCCCTGATACACTGCAGCCTCACAGGCCTTCTTTATGTTCTCCAGGAGGGTCAGCAAACTGTGACCTGCCAGTCAAACCCAGCCTACTGCCCATTTTTTGTAAATCTTTACTGGAACACAGCCACCCACGCCTCTTTGTTTATATATTATCTGTGGCACGACAGTGGCAGGGTTGAGTAGAAACACATATTTACTATCTGGGTCTTTAAGAAAAATTGCAGATGACTGTTCTAAAATCACACCAAGCTTTTCCCCATCTTCAGGTATTTGCACTTGGATCGCCCCTGCCCGCTGGCCCCTTTGGATCACTTAGGTTTTAGCTTACTGAACTCCTCTCCACCTGCCCACATCCCTATCCCAGTCTCTTTCCCCTTACCTCTACCTAAAATATACTTATTTATTATACATTGTCCCTCCCAGAGAGCAGAATCTTGTCTGCTTGCCCTGTACTGTGTGCAAGGACTTAGCACAGTGTTGGGCACATGGTAGGTGCTTAATGAACACTTATTAAAAGAGTAAATGCATTCAAGTACACAGGGGCCTGTGCCTCTTCCAGCTAGGACTTCTTGCCCTTGGGGCAGCCAGCCGTTAGAGATCTCAGTCACACACTTGCTCCTTGTCCACAGTGAGCAAAGGAGGAGAGAGCGTGAGTTGTGTATACAGGGATATGTGGTGTATATACGGATAGAGCTGAGAGAAAGTGGTTGGCAAGAAGCACGCCCATGTCAGCAGCAGCTTATATTTATTATATGCTTGCTGAACTGGAGAGCTACCCAGGCAGCTCTCTGCAGCATCTTGTGTGTTTATATAGCACATTGGACACTGGTGCAATTCAGAAGGTTGGACATTGGTGCAGTTCAGCCCAGTAAGTACTTAAGAGCATCTTTGAGGTCCAAACCATTGGGCTAGGTAACAGTGGTCATGGTTAAGACCACAGACTCTGGGGTCAGGTGTCTCGGGTTCAGGTCCACCTCTGTCATCTCCCAGCTCTGTAATTTTGGGCAAGATGCTTAACCTCTCTGAGCCTCTTCTTCTCATCAGTAAAATGAGGATAATGACAGAACCAACTCTATAGTCATTCTGAAAATGAAAGTAGGTGATGCAGGCCGAGCACTTGGTATGTGTTCAACATATGTGCCATCATTCTTAAGCTCAAAGATCACATTCTCTGTTTGAATAGAGGCATAATGCAATGGTAAAGCGCTTGGGCTCAGGAGTCCAACAAGCTGGGCTCAAATTCTGCTTCTGCTGTTGTGATCCTGCACAAATTAATTAACCTCTCTGAGCTTTAATTTTCTCCTCTGTTAAACTGGGATATCAGTAATGTGGCTAGGATCTTTAGGGTCAAAGAAGTCAATATATATATAAAACTTTGAGCCCATGGCTCTTCCCCATCACCATTTCCAGGTGTGAATTTCTATCACTTTAATTCACCAGGCAGAGGGGAGGAATGAAGAATGTTGAATGATACGATACTAGGTAGGGAAGCAAAGCTTAACACATTTGAGCAGCATTGATGGGACACGTGAATACTATGTGGAATGTGCTCTGAGGCGTCCGGGGGTCTGAGAAAGGTGGGAGCAGATAGATGGGACTCTCTGACCATATTTGTGGAGGAAGTGGGACTTCAACTAATCCTTGAAGTATGAGGAAAGGAAACAAAGGAAAGACAACAGAAATCTAAAGATGAGGTGGGGTAGGGATCTGGTGCTGCCTCCCTCCTCCATCAGTAAATGAGAATTTACATTTCAATTCTTATTACCACCTCATTACACAGGCAAAGGAGGAGTGAGCATGAGTTAACAATTTGGCAGTTCCTTAAACAGTTAAACATATAACAAAAAAGTTATAACCCTTAACTTTCTGTGAATGAGTTAAAAGGCAGATCCTGGGCCCCACTTCTTGAGATTCTGCTTGAACCAATGTGCTATAGGGACTAGGAATCTGCAGTTTTTAATAAGCATCCAGGTAGATACCACACTTTCATAAAGCCTGATTTGAAAACTCCGTTAAGTCAGTAATCTGACCTAAAGGCAATATATATTGTCCCCTGTAGCCCTCTGTGACACATCTTTTGTTCTCCAATTTGGAGGACCTCCCTTATACTATCTGATTCTTCCCTTACTCTGCAAATTGCATTTCTAATGTTTGCAGACATTACCACTTCAGCACCTGAGCTGTGTTTGAACAGCTGGCCAGGAAGGGAGAATGTCTAAAAGGCATGGACTCAGTGCATCCAGTGGAGTAACAACTCAGCTAGGAGCTTTGCTGCAAGGTGGGAGGGGTCTTTTTCTTTTCTTTTTTTTCTTTTTCAGTTTTGCTAGGTTGTTTATTCTTTCTAGGTCTTTTATTTTGGGGAGTAAGTTTGGTTTGTTTGGCTTTGGTTCTAAGCATTTGAAGTTTCCCAAAGCATAGGTGGGTGTTGATACCAGGCTCTTACCCAGGCTCTTACCCAGGCTCTGCCAGGAGAGATTCTTGCTAACCAGTCAAATAACAAATGGCCCCCTACTGACTAACCTGTACTGAGCATTTACTGTATCCTGACCCTGTTGAGTGCTTTCTCTGTGTTGGCTCCTTGAACCCTCACAAGAACCACTGAGTGGGGAGAGAGTTTTATTGTCACCACTTAACACCTGCAGAAACTGAAATAGTCTTGGCAGTGTCAGCTGGATGGATGGGTAGAAGGCAGGGTTATTGGGATGCTAGTATTTTATGGGCAGGATGGGAGAGCTTGGTCATTGGAAAGGCCAGGTTGCTTTTCAGTTATATGCTGTGTTCTTCCTACAGACATGTCTCTCCCAGGCTCTTCCTTATGTGGGGGTCATGAATCCACAAAGTACCCTTGCTACTTTTGGTTTATTCCTGAAGCTGCGATATAAAATTATGCATGGATTTTGAAAACCAGCTAACAGATGTTTGACCTTATCTTTTCCTACAGAAACATTCATGAGCTAGACAGGGTTGACCGTGATCTTCGTAAGCCTCAGTATATGTCCTTCCGTTTCCCCGTTTGCTTCCGTCCTTTCTTCCTTCCCTATGGACCAAAACTAGACTTATATAGTAGTGCTGGGGCAGAAATGCTTTCCTAAAACAAGCTCAGGAAGTCACTTAATTAGCCTAGGAAGGGAATAGAGGATTTTCATTCTCCAAACAATCTCAGAAGATTGGAGTTTTCCTATTCTATTAATAGCAAATGCCCTGCCTTGCCCAAGAGTGATTTGTATATTCCAGTTCGCAAGCACGAATGCCATCTGCCCAACTCCAAGTCCCAAGATCCCTCCTTTCATCCTTCCTATTTTGACTGCTTTGCAGACTCAGCTGGATTTTATATAATCTTTGCAATATCACAGTAGTTCCTCTGGAGATGGAATGTGGTGTCACAGAAATGGGTGTATATTATTTGGATATTGAAAAACCAAAGGGGCAGAAATTTTGAAAGTGGCTGTAGAGGGAAAGACTTGTATGAAGGAGGGATGAAAATTCTAGAGAACAGGAAGAAAAGCTAAGAAAGGGTATGGGTTCAAAGACTATAAAATGCAAAAAGAAAAAATCAAACAAAAAACCCACAGAGGGAATTTGCAAGGAAATTAGAAGCAGGGGGGTAAGGATTTGAAGGCTAGTAAAATGCATGATTTGGAGCTAGATACCTTTAAATGTTAGTTCTTAGCAGTCCTTCATGGGTACTGCCCTTGGTTACAAAGCCAAAACTGGGTAGGTAGAAGGGAACATAGATGGATGGACAGATGGATGAACAGACGGACTGATGGACTGAGTGTACATAGGTAAATATACAGAGGGAGCACCGTAACTCTGACCTCTAACCTAAAATCTGTCCCTTATTTATAGTTTAAACCAGGACCTTCAGAAAGTCTGTGAAATTCTTAAAATTGTATGTGGAATTTTTAATGTCTGTGTCTGTTTCCATTTTTGTTGCAAAGACAGTTCAGCATTTCCTCCATCAGAAGGCCTATGTCCCACAAAAGGTTCAGAAGCTCTGGTTTAAATGAGCCCTAGAATCGTGTGACTTACAGAGCAACTGCGTTCATTCTCCAAACTTCCTTGGCGCATACGCAGATGCACACTCACAGCACACTTCTGCTGCCTGCCCTATCTGTAGCATCATCTCTTCTCACTCTCTCTCCCCTTCCTGTTACAGTTCACCCGTCTCAGGAGCCTGGCTGGTTGGAGGGGACTCTGAATGGAAAAACTGGCCTCATCCCTGAGAACTACGTGGAGTTCCTCTAACCGTGGGCCCCAGCAGAACTGCTGAGCTTTCCATGGTATCCATGACAACTGCTGAGTCCAGTATTGTGGGTCATTTCTCTTTGCCACTGAGAAATGCAGGACGACTGACTCTGCTGCTACCTGTCAACACAAGTGTTTCTGTGAACTTTGGGGTCATCCATCCCCATGATCATCTCAGCTGATGTGCGGTGACATTGCAAGAAACAGAAGTAAATCAGCAGGGGCTGCCATTTGATTTTGATAACCAAGGAAGGCTTGCAAAGCCATTTCTCTCATTCAGCACCCTAAATGGGGAGCACTCATTTTGTTTCAACAGTCACCCAAACTCCCAGCCTTCTGAAAACGGAAGCAAGATCTAAGTAGTCCTCAAACGCATGCAGGGCTGGGTAATGGCTCTGAGATCCAGGCTGGGTCCATTGCTTTTGTTTACAGTAGACACTCTAATCCACCTCTACATACTTGAGACCCACAGTGCTACAGGCAGCTGGGTCTGTTTGTTTGCATGCAGGATGGAGAGGGCCTACGGCACTGTTTACACAAGATCCAATCTCTCACCATCTCTAAAACAGCGGTTGGCCCAGCGACAGCAGAATTAGCCCAGTCCCCTCTTACGAGAGAACACACACACCCCACGTTCCCCTCCTCCCAAGCTGGGAACTTCTCTGCCGCTGAGTGTGGCCACCACTTCGTAACCACGGCAACTCAACCTACTCCTAAACCAAATCAAGATAAATAAATAAATAAATAACACGCTCGATTTGCATTACACATTTTTTTCTCCCCCCTTTTGGGTAGTTTTTTTGAATGGTTTTCCAACAACGTGAAGAGGAAGATCAAGAAATTAGAGTGGTCTGCTAAGGACAGACAGAATAGCAGCTGGGAACTGTTTCCTTTCTGATTTATTTCAGCAGCATCAGGATATATTTGGAGCAAACTCTAGTAACCTCTTGAGATTAAATTACATACAGGCTTAATATTTCTGTTCTTCCATGCCACTGATGTTTGCTTTCTAGAGGGCGATATGCTGCCTCCCGATGGGTGATGCCCTCTTCTTTCTGACTCATTCCCTAAGGGCCTCCAGTTCACCTGTCTTAACCCCTGCCCTGGACTGCCTCTAGCCCATCACTGACCACCCCTGACAGTGCCCTGGACTCCTGAGCACTGCTGCCCTGCTGGTTTGCAGGGCTGATTTCCTAGGCCAGCCCTAAGGCCTATAGTTTAAAAGGACATGTATGTTCACTGCCACTCAGAAAAAGGGAATTGTTTCTCAGGCTTTTGAGGCATGAGGCTGATATCATAAGCCATTGTGATTCAGGAGGACACCAAAAGCTTGAGGCAGGGAGAATGTGATGGGTACCTCCTGAGGAAGAGAATTTCCTGGCCCACCAAGGGATGGGTCTCGTGGAACACCTGCCTTGAGTGGGGAAGTTCAGCCTGGACATTTCATATTCACTTGGCTTCCAAAAGACAGAGTCCTCAGGATGTTCCCCATTTGAATGTCCTTGCAAGAGTGACTCTGGGCAGACCAGCTCCAAACCGATGGACTGTCAAACTCCACAGCCTTCACGGGATGGCAGCCATGCTCCGGAGTGTTTCCTACTTCTGGAATTCCTCATTAGGGAAGTTTAAAGAAGAAAAGAAAAACTTGAATTGTGTTCATTACTGTATCTTTTACATTTTTTGGAGAAGATAAACCTGTAAATAGGGTGATTTGAAATTCTATATGGCAAAGTTTTATATTTGATATTCTTGAAGCCAGTTGCTCCACACATTTAAGCTTTGGTTGCTGAACAGGAGTGTATAGGAGGGAGAGCGAGGAAGAAAGGTTGAAGAGAGTCAAGGTCATCCCTCTCTGACCTTGAGGAAGGAGGAGATATGTCTGCACATGCTCTGCTGGCTCTTGTTGGTGGGCATAACACATCGATGGTGTTCAGTCGTCTTTATCCAGGTGTGTTTTTGAGCATTTCTTGGGCTTTGGATTTGGAGATGGAAAGAGCATCTTCTGGCAAAGAATCTTTCCAAGAACAACTACTCAGTAGTGAGATGAAGCTCAGGATTTAAATAGATGGGGCCAGGGCTTAGGGTTTTTTGTTGTCTTGTTTGTTTGTTTTTTCCATTTTTCTTCTCAGGTGTATTTCTTGGTACCCTAAGATATCAGGACAGCAGGATATAGGATAATTGTGTACTCCTTATGTGTAACTCTTCTGCACATCTTCTAAGACTTTATGAAAGAGGCCAAGCTAGTTTGCAAGTTTTGTGTGTGTCCCAGTTCTTAAAAAAAACTGGCTTCTTAGGATCTTTAATTCTCAGTATGCTGCAGCTTCTCCTTTCCCTGAACATGTTTATGCCCTTTCTGTTTATCTCAGATTTCCTATAACCCCAAGTGAGGGAAAAACTCCAAAGAGGAATGGAGATTGTGCCATTAGAGCTTTATAGATGGTTTTCAAGTTAATAGGAGTATGTCATTGTGACTCAGTTCATGAGCTCAAAGGTTACACCGCTATTATCCAGGAGCTCACCCAGCAGCAATGGAGACACTGCCACTGAATCAGGGAACAAGGATTAAGACTGGACAAGGACTCAGGAAAGCTATCGTTGAAAACCTAAAAAGAAAGGGAATTTACAGACAGGCCATACCTCCTCCCTGTGGGCTTTGAACTGCTTGGGGACCTGTTCCAAGGGGCCTGAGGCAACAAACGCACTCTGCCACTGTGCTTTTCAAATAGGAGGAGGGCAACATAATTCTTTCAATGCATTTGATGTTTTATATTGTCACAGGCCCCACTAAAACCTTGAGCAAAATATGCAGGTCCTGGCTTGGGAGTTCCTAGCTGAAGCATACCTATGGGCACTCAGCCCCAGCTTGACCAGTTGGAAGCATATCCCTCCCTCCTCAGTTGGCCCTGATTAGAAGCCAGAGGGAAATGGAGCTGCTGCCAATGGGAATTTTTAGGTAGATTCCTTCCCAGTGTCCCTGTGGCCATGCTGGGCCTGTGACAGATGGCTGCTCTGTTTCCTTTCCCCAGCCAGGCTTACCTCCTCCCCATTTGCTACAGACCTGGAGAAACTGTTCAGAATATGAGCCAACAGATAGGAAGGATTTTGGAGACTAAAAATAGATTTTACCCTCTCTACTCTCTCTCTCTGCCTTCCGTCCCTCACTCTCTGCTTGAATGAGAGGGGATCTTCAGGATGGGTTAGGGGAGTGAACTAGATATTAGGCTGGAAGACTGTTGACCAAGATCCCTGAGTTTTCCCTGGGGGCTTTGTTCCTTTTGTAAGGCCCTGGGATCTGCTTGGCATACAGAGCATGAATCTTTTTGGGGTATTAAGATCAGTCTCTTACTTCTTCAGGTACCCACAGAAGTCTGTATCTGCAGAATGCCATGTCATAAGAAGATAACTAGTTTCAAACCCATAACCCACCCCGCTACTAGCAAGCAAATTCCCGATTCACTCAAGACTGGTGATAGTCTCTTCTCTTTTCAAAAATAAACATAGAGGTGGGCCCTGTATAGCACCACCTTCCTTGGTGTCTTGTAATTGGAGCCAGTTTTTAGCTTACTGTTTCAGTATTTTGACAACCAATATGTGTTTTCTTCTGTCAGACCCAACTGTCTTTTTCAGCATCATTCCAGTTCATCCTCTCTTGCTGAGGGTTGTTTTTTGTTTTGTTTTGTTTTTTTTAAACAGAGGCAAAGAGAAAGAGAAATGAGCCATCGAGTATTGACAGACTGGCATTAGCAGGACAGTCATGCTAGTGACAGAGTCACTAAAGGCATTTGTTGGGATTCTGCGGTTGTGTGTGCCATACCTTGCTCTAAAGGAAGTCCTTCTACCAACTGCATTTGTGTGTCCTGAAAATAGCAACCCCAGTCTCACCAGAAGTTCTGTTCTTAACTTCAGTGACTCCAGGAACATCCATGGTTAAGGGGTAGGGAGACAGAAATAATTGGCTGACGATAACTTGATCACCTATTCATGACTGTCTATAGGCACCTTTCATCCTCTGGCTTCTGTTTCCAAAGACAAGTCTGGACCACCCATATTTGTAGATACAGGACCGCCACGTACAACAGTGGCCATCATGGCACCTACAGTTTCCCTAGAATTGAATGTCTTATGAGCAACCATATTACCCGAGTAGGTAGCCAGCACTGAAGAAAACAAACAGCCTCTTAGCTACCTGCCTTTAGAGGAGGTGTCCTAGGTATTCTGTCTTGGGAGTTATCTGTCATCTCTGGCAAACCTGACAGTCATCAATAACCTAGACAACCCTGCTCCACATCTCTTTCAAGTCAACTGGGTGTCTTCTCTCACACCCTGTGCTGGTGTTTAAAAAATTTATCTTGTGCTCAAATGTGTTTGGCAGCCACGCTGATCTGCCGGGTGCTGAACCACTTACTTCTCTGTAATTGTAGCATCAAAATGACAACAGCAGGAGAGCAGTGAACATTGCACAATTCTATAGCATGCGTGAGACAATACTCCAACAAGTAATAATTAGCTTTTTCCCCCCCTTTCAACACCTACAGTACTTGTCTAACTACAGAGCTTCCCAAACGAGAGGGAGGGATCCTATAGAGAATCCAGATATCACTCAGAGCCAGTCTTTGCTGAAATGCGGCCTTCTAGTGGAAGCACTTGTATTCTTGGGAGAAAAAGTATTGGATGTAAAGTAATGCTAGGAGCAGAGAGAGAGGGGAAAAAAAACAACAACAAACCACACTGAAGAACTTTGGATTTCTTGGGGGTTTTGTTTGTTTGTTTGTTTGTTTAGAGAGAGAAATACAGTTCTTAATAGGGGAAGGAAAAACTTATCATAAAAAAAAGTTCATAATATTTTTACAGAAGTTTTGTGGGACTCTACAAGATAGAAACGTCTTTCAAGGTGGAATACTTTAGAGAACAAAGGCTTGGCCTAGTCCTAGACCCATGTAAGGGTAGCAGTTACTATTACGTCAAAATTCTCTTTAGTAAGAATCAGAGTATTGATAATCAAAATTTCGGAACTACCTGGAGCTGTCATAGAGAGATGAAGACATTCTGTGCCATTCTACCTTGACCAGTTCTTGTCCAGACAGCTAGACAGCATCCTTGGGTATCCAGTTGCCAGGATGAACCTTGTACCTGTGAAAAGAGATTCATCTGGTGATTCTAAAGTATATATGTATTAGTGTGTGTTTGTGTATGTGTAATGTGTATGTATAGTGCACATTTATGTATGTGAAGATACAGACTCATATAGAAACCCACATAAGCTGGCAGTAGCTGAGCCTTTACAACCTTTAAGATTTGAAGGTTGAGAATTCAAGAAATAAGAGAGGCTGTTTGACTATCAAAATGATCAGAGATGTAAATTAAGTGCCATTTTAAAACTTTGTTCATATTTATCAGATGGTTACTATCTACAGCTATATTCCATGTTAACTTATTAAAAGTCATGTTGCAAAAAGATCAAGTTAATAAATGGTTAGTAGCTAGTACCAGGCTAGTGTTCAAAAGCACTCTAAAGGATATTTTGTCCATATTTTGGAGAAGAAAGTGTGTGCATGTTTAATTCATAATTTAGGCTACCTTTGAATATATTGTAAAGTGCTATGTGATATAGTATCAATAAAGTACTTAAAAATGGCACTTTAATGTTTTTTTTAAATCATAAGTAATGCACTGTTTGAAACTTCAGTTCAGTATTGAATATTGACTGGTGTATAGAATCCAATTCCGTAATTAAAAAGTAATTTGTGACTAGAATAGAACTTTTTTTCTTGTTACTAGTGAAACAGTTTTACCATGTTCAAGCTTTAAAAAAAGTGTGCTTTTGCGTCACTAAGCATATCTACAAAGACAATACAATTTCTGTTGAGTGGCCTCTGAAACTTGGCTTTCTTACATTTTGTTGGTTTACATGACAATCCGTATAAAACAAGTGGAAGTATGATTTTTGAATTAAATGACTTTTCCATTTGATGGTATGTCTGTTTCTTAAGTTTCTGATAAAGTTTTGACATGCACATTCTAATATATCTTCAAATCAGCAGAAACCATGATCAAAAGTCACATGTCTGGGCTCCTGTGGTTACTGGTGACAACTTCAGTGCTGATTTCTGACGCACTCTGAGGAGCTTTTGTTTCCTTTAGGAAGAGGTCAAATGCTAGTGAACTTGAAGAGGAGGGATCAGACATGCTAAACAATTCAGCCCCAAAGACTCATTTCAATGAACCTTTCTGGCTTTATCTCCTAGAATACATATTGTTTTAGTCTTCCTAAATTTGATTTTCCAGTCAAACATTTCTGGAGCTTCATTAACATGGTATGGGATAATCAAAGGGCCAGAATATAGGCAGTCCCACCACCCAGCTGGGCACGTCCCACAGGTTTGCAAATCAGTTACTTGTAACATGAGTCCCAGGCCAACTCACATTATTCAGCCTTTTCATTCATCATATCCCTTCCAGGTACATTCTGAGTTGGAGCCCAGGTATTTACAGTTAGCTCCGAGCTTCTGCAATGAGAGCAGAGGACTGGAAGAAAAGCAAGAAAAGTGCAGGAGCCAGCGCTCTGGGGATTAAGGGTGAAACTTGTCCTGGGGAAACAGGAGAGCAAGTCTCCCCTGGTGCCTGGTTCTGACGGGGTGGCTATTTGTGTGGCTGATATGTGAACTCTTTATACTGTTCTCATTTGTCACTTAATACGGCACTGGTTTACCCCTATGAACAGCCCAGGCTCAGCACCTGCTGCCTTCACCAAGCTTACACCTTGCTCTGGAAAATTCTTCCAGCATCTGAAGCCTCATACATATGTGAGGTCATGAAATACCTTACACAGCCCATATTTAATGCTCATCATATAAAGAACAAAATACACGGTATGTATTTGTATTTTTTTTTTTTTTCTGTCTTGGCATTTCTGACAGACTTTGCAGTCACTTTGTTAACAGAGATTTTCTTTTTTTCTTTATTTTCTTTTTTCCTTTTGCTTTTAGCAGCCACTCAGGAGCAGAGCTCAAATTGTGTGACTTGTGGTTTGTTTGGTGTTTTTCACTTGTTTGCTCTGGCTTTATGATTGGTCATAAGAGCACCTTGGTTAGAAATGGATTTGATTGACACTTGAAATTGGATAAATGAAAGGTTTTCTCAGACCCCAAACACATTTGTTCTCTTGGGAATTAAATCAGGGCTTTAATTCCGTCTTTTCTCAGTTCTTTCCCAACCTCCACTCAAATACACATCTCTCTTACCCCAGTGTGTTGATGTCATTGGCTTGCCCTGCTTTTAATAGCACTAAGCTAAGCTACAGCCAGTTACCTGCACTGGGTTAGGCAGGATTGCCTGGGTTCAGGCTGCATGTTAGTTAAGGAAGTCTCTAACCAAGGCAGCCAGCCCCTGCTCAGGGTGTGTGCGGCTCATTGCACAGAGAGGGAGAAGCATGCTCACCCAGGGCTGCTGCACCCTAAAACCCCACCCTGCACGTGCCAGTCAGCATCAGGCGGTGGAGGCCAAAGCAAGGTTTTAGGTTGAAATGATTAAAACCTCTACCCACTGTCTCCCAGCACTTAGCAACTCCTCTCACACTGTGTCCCTGCAAAGTCTCTTGTGTAACTGACTCCATAAAGCCAGCCCAGCCTCAATTTGCTAAAACCCAGGTAGCTAATATGTTTTCTCAACCAGCAAATTAGTCAAGACTTGAATTCATGGGTCCTTTCTCTAGATAACAAACTATATTTTACCCTCCAGGCCTTTTGCCCACCCTAAAAGTAAAGTTTTTGCTTTGATACTAGTAGCATGTCCTTTTTGCATTTTGTGGTAGACTATTAGATTTTTTAAAAATTATTTCCTGTTTATCTGCCTTTTCTGAACCTTCATCTGTGAAAAAGAAATGGGATGGTAATGTTTGCCTCGCCTGTGTTAAATGAAATGAATAACAGAAAAGAGTAGCCGTCTTTCTTTTCCCACCTTTTCTCCTAATCACATCATTTTGCCCCTTCATAGCAGTTCCTACTTACAATTCGTTGTTTGTCAATAAATGTTTGGTGCCTGTTTTTCTCCTAATAAACAGCTCAGTGAGGACAGAGACCAGGCCTTGATGACCCATCTCTGCCCAGCACCCAGCCCTGGTTTGGCGCACGGCACATGGCCAATAGCAAGTGAAAGAAATCAGGTAAAGTACTGCGTCAGCATTCGTCTGCTTGCAGGAAAGAAATTGGAAGTCATTGGACCTGGGTACTTGAACCAAGGTGACTTCATTACCCTTGGCAGGCTCCTTCACTTGCTCCCGTCCTGGGATTTAGGCTTATGGACAGAGACTTCCCTCTCTCCGTGCACACACAGCCACATTCTTTCCCAGCCTCCTCACTAGTACTTGGCTCAAGAAACCATCTGGATAACTGATTGACCAAGAGCCAAAAGACTCTTTGCTGTCACCTGAATTACTTATGGGTTATTTCATAAACTTCATACTAAGCTGGGGACGTGCCTTCAAGCAAACACATCAAAATCTTCCCCCAAATAAAAAATGTTCCCTTTTTTAAGGACCCTTAAAGGAAATTCCACACTGTCCCATGGGAACTTGGTCTGCTATCTAACACACTCAGGAAGGGAATTTGTGTCTAATTGAAGTTTCCCATGATGCAGCTTACATCCGTTTCTGTTTTTCCTTAGAGCGGAGAACAACTGGCCATCATCTTTTTAGAACCATTACCCTCCACTTTTATGTTTCCATCCAGCCAACACTTCTTGAACACCTCTTGTGTGCTGGGAGCTGCTACAACCAGGAAGTATAAGACACAATCCCTGTTCTCAGAGAACTCACAGTTGGCCTCAGGGATAGGCAGGTATGCAGGAAAGCATTTGCCATGTGCTAGCAGGGAGTCTTGGGTGCTGAGGAAGAGTGATTCTTTCTATTTGGGAGGTAGGTACCAGAGAAAACGTCACCAAAGGAGTGACATTGGAGATGGTTCTTGAAAGATTAAGAGGTATTTGCCACTTAGGCAACTGGGAAAGTGTCCCAGGTACAAGGACAGCAAGGACCAAGACATGAAGGGGAGAAAGAGAGATGAGTTACATATCATTCGAGCATGAGGAGATTAGGACTTCTGGAGAACTATAAACTATTCACCCTCACCCACCCCCACCTTAGCCTTTAGGCTTCTGTTTTCTTTCAATGACCGACAATATCACAATTTATTACTCTCTTACTAGGTACCAGACACCACTTTACATGCATTAACTCAATCTTGAAAATATGAATGAAGTACTAGAATTTACCCTCACTTTATAGATGAGGAAGCTGAGGATCTGGGAGGTCACGCAAGCTACTAAGTGGTAGAACTAAAATTCCCACATAAGTCTGCTTCTATAGCCTACATACTCTTAACATCTTTTATTTCTTTATAGATACATACACGGTTTTACATAAATGCATAAACAACTTTTTAATTGGGTGGGAGTTTTTCCTTCCGGCTGTGACTTGGTTCTTTCATCCCCTACATCAGCCTTCTCCCTCCTCATAACCAATGACAACAACTTCATTATGCCCTTTTCATCAGTGAGCCCTTCAGAAAGCATAATCTCTGGCGTACACTCAGCTTTCGTTTTGCCGTGGCTGGAATAAGAACAGGATATGTTTTGATTAAAATCTTTCCTCCTTGGAGCCCTTTGCTCACTCGTCTTGAGTGAGTAGTCCCCCGTTTCTGGAGCCCCCGGCAGACACCCCTGCTCTCCGGGGTACCCCAGGGGCTCCAGCTGCGGCCCTTGGCCGGTCCCATCGCCCTCGAGGCCCCAGCAAGGAGGCGGCTCCTGCAGAGAGCCCCGCCATGTGTCGCTAGCTGGAATATGTAATGTGCAAATTTTTTAAAATTGAACAATTTGAAAATAGTCCCTCTCCCCCACCCTGATCCAGCTGCCAGTGACAGACCTGTAGGCTCTTAGGACATTGCCAGGGAATCCCATGAGCATATGTCTTGGGGGAGAGTCTGTTTCTAGCCTGATCTGCTAATGCTCAATAATAGAGGGTTTTCTTGGGATTTGAAGCCCCTCTTGAGCTTAAGGAGCGTTGAAATAGCACTAGAGGACGGAGCATGAGCACGCCAAGGAGACGGGGGAGCGCTGGCAGGGCACAGAAGGCATTCGACTGGCACTCGGCTCTGCTTCCCCAGTGAGCCTCTCGCCCAGGGGTCCCACAGTGAGGGGCCGAACTGTGGCCTGGCAGGATGACAGTGGGGCAGTAAGTCTCTTTTATGAAGCACTTCTGTTGTGCTAATTGACAAGCATCATCCCACTGAACCCTCATGTCAACCTTACATGGTAGATACTGTTGTTACCTATTCTACACATGAGGAAGCCAAGTATTAGATGGGGTGATTTGTTCAGAGTCACTGAGCTAATAAGTAACAGGACAGATTCAGCCCCAGCAGGCTGACAGCAGAGCTTACACTTAACTCCCATACATTCCCCACTCGGGGGAAGGTTGCAGAAGTTCCAGTCCCCAGATGCCCTTCACTTCTCTCACCCCAAGAGAATATTTGTTACTTTTGCCTGTTTAGCATCTAGTACCCCTTCTTCTGGTAACAACAGCTCAGCATTTCTTTGGAGAGCACCCCCTACTTCCTACCCTCAGGTTCCGCAGGTTTTGGTGGGCTACGCTCAACCCGGGATCCAATTGTGAACCTGTGGCCCTGCTCTGGCCTGTGACATCATCACAAGCCAAAGTGATTGGTTGGCTCAGGAATGGGCGTAGGACCGAGTTAAACCCACAGTGCCAGGGCTTTGTCCTGGGGCAGGGTATACTGGACGCAGCAGGGGGTTCATAATACCAGGGAAGCATGGTAAGTGCTCTTCCTCCCACCCTCAAAAGGCTTCTTAGCATGAGCTCTGTCTGCCACTTGTCCGTATGCGAGGTCCCTCATACCTTAGGTTGAGTGTTTATTTA